CCAGTGCCGAATTTCACTTTTATTATGTTTTTTTTTCTAGCACTAACTGGGCCAGCAGCAGTTACTGATCCTGCGTCCAGTTGGGCTTTCTTTTCCGTTTTGGCGAGTTCTTAATCCACCGTCATTCAAAGTTACATTACTTCGAGCAACATTTCCTTGTTTTAAGTTTATTTTTCTATTTAGGCTAATATGATGTCAATTAACCAAGCAAGTGTTAATGCAAGTGTCGTTTTTCATTATTAGGCAAGTGACGGTTTTCATTGGGGTATTAGGCTACATTGATTTAATTGAATTCACGACTTTTCTCTCTCTCTCTCTGCCTTTTTAGAATTACACTTCACTGGGGCCTGCACAAACATGTCATTATATATGCATTTCGATGACATTACTACTATTATTTTGTGTAGGACACAGACATATTTAGATGTCGTAATTCCATGATTTGTTGCGTCTGTGTTATGTTCCGCATGATGGCCCTGTCATCTAACAACCAATCACCGTGATCATTGCGAGGAAGCTCGTGCATGAGAATGGACGTCATCTATAGCAACGATGACTCACTCTTAGTTTAGGAGTTGTCATTTTTCCTTACTAAGAGTAGGTCTGAAAGGCGTTGTGAATAACTTTTAAGAGAAAACTCCTAGCTAAAATATTTTAGTGCGATTTAGGAGTACTCCTAGTGGTAAGATAAAATTCTTTGTGAATACGGCCCCTGGTCTCGGACAATTCACTGTTATTATTGGTGGGGATTTTTTAGTTATACTTTCAGCAGGTTACATCGCCACGCTAGTAGATGGCGAAAAGTGACTGTCACTGACTACGTTTACATGCAGCCAATAACCCGTTCAAAACCGGGATATTAGCAAAAACCCGGTCGCGCACGGCCATGTAAACACCTGCAAAAACCCGAATATGCTTATATCCCGGATTTTAAAAACCGGGATATGATACCTTTGGTACCCCTTTTCTAACCCGAATTTTTGGTCATGTAAACGCGCATCGGCATATCCCCATAGTGATTTGTGTTCTGCGCATGTTCTATTCACTAGAAATCTTGGTCTTTTGAGTAGAGGAACTTCTCAGCGCATACAAAAACCCGCGTGCAGTATACCAGAAGTAAACATGGCGAGACGCAGCACAGCATACTTTTGGAGCGAGGTCAGTACCAGCACCAAAGTGCAAACAAAGGCGATCGCTATCTGCCCCAAACTGTTCATTATCCACGTGCTGCTGCTATTGTTGTTGTCTTTGGATACAGGAAGAAGAATCGTAAATGACGCATAGTGCGTCTTAAGGTTGTCCGTACGTCTAGACGCTAACCGTGCGTCGCCATTTACATCGGGATATTGCAATTCCATGTATATAGGAGAAACACTCTCTGCTCACGCATGTAAACGGGTTATTCCTAATGTTTCAGAAACCCGAATAGTGACCTTAACCCGACCATAACCCGAAAATTGGCTGCATGTAAACGTAGTCACTGAATCATTCCTTCAACCGATTTGTGCAAAACCACTGATTGATTCAGAAAAGAAGTGAGTGGCTAAATTTGGAAAAGCACACTACCATACAACTCTTACTTTTCTGACATACTTTACATGGCAGAAATAATAAAAATACCATGACACCTATGCCATTCCAAATTCAGCCACTTACTTAAAGTGAGTCACATCATTCCCTTAAATGATTTGTTCAAAAACACTGAGTCATCCAGGAACTAATCACTGCTACTGTGTTTTGATGGGGCAAAAATAGACAAGTAATTGGCTATATTGGCCCTCATTTATCATTCTTGCAAAGAAACGGGCGTATACGTTGGCGTAAGATTATGCTTACACTCCTCTCTCACCGCCTGATTTATGAAGCTGTGCGTACCTTTGAAATCCAGGTGTACGCAATACCTGCCCTAAATGCCGCGGCTGAAAACGATATCGTCATTAGAATAACACGCCTCTATATATTCAAGTCTCCGCTTCCCCCACGCCCTCATTTTAGGCCATGGACACACGGAAGACGGCAAAGAAGAGAAACTTCTCCGACGTGGAGCCGAAATGACTAACACAGTCTCATCCCAAGACGTCATATGACTGACGCTTTTGACCATACGTCAACATCCGACGTTTTAGGGTACCCTTTAACCTCTTAAAGGCCATGGTGCAGGTTTTTTTTTTTTTTCTTTTTTGGTAATTTTCTAGTTGGTAATAAACATTTAAACAGTTATCCATTGTATTTGATGTTGTAGGGTACTCAAAAATTAAAATATAATACGGCAAAGTAGGTGATATGTTAGCATTTAGCTACAGCTTAGCGCTGATTCTTATTTCTCCCACAATGCAATCCATGACGTCACATGAGGTACTCGCTGACTGTTGGACGACAGACGAAAGCCCGCGGCCCGCCTTACCATTGAGGGAGAGTGATACGAGGAGTAGCTAGCTAGTGAAAGAGTGACAGTGACAGATTTATAAGTAAAGAAAGATAGATAACGATAGATAGGTAGATAGATAGATAGATAGATAGATAGATAGATAGATAGATAGATAGATAGATAGATAGATAGATAGATAGATAGGCATAGCATATATAGTGAGAGATAGCATAGCATAACAGATAGCTTAGAGATAGATAAAGAGTAGATCATAAATAAGTCAAAATGGTTTATTACTGTGTTTGTGGCGGGTGCAAGAACTCCAGCAAAACTGGACATAGGGTCCATTCCTTCCCCAAGGACAAAGCGATCTTCCGAAGCTGGGTGCAGTTTGTGAAGATTAGGCGGGCAGATTTTTCAGCGAGCTCTGTCACCGCCTACTCGAGAATATGTAGCGCGCATTTCAAAGAGGAGGATTACAATTCAGGGGATGCCAAGATGGTCTCACTTGGTCTAAAGAGTGAGAGAAGTGCTAAATTACTTCCTACCGCCGTGCCGTCTGTGAACGCAAACCTCTCTGCTTGCCCTGTCCCGAGGTCGAGAGACACCGCCTGCCGCAAGCGACAAATTGCCACGGTAAGCATCATGCTAACGTTAATGTTTACAAGCTGCGTGTTAGCTAGCTCTGTGTGTATTTTGTATACCGTGCTCCCTTTGACACAGCCTCCACTAATTTACAAGCACGATCACTCTGACATTAGAAGAGCATATTTCGTGATTCGCGAATAAAAATTAGAATAATAACAAAATTGCCCTGAGGTAAAAGTCCATATAATCATGAGTGTTTGGATCAGATCAAGCGGCTTTCGCAATGGTGTGTTCGCGTTTTGTTTTTTGACTGCTACGGTTCTCTTTCACATATATTTGACCGTGACCGTGTCGCCAGGGCTGTAGTGAAGGCTAAACGCAAGTAAAACATTTAGTATCGCATATCTGGGTCCACTGTACTGTAATCTAAGTCAGTGGTTCCCAAACTTTTTTCTCTTGTGTAGCCTCTTAGCATTTTTCTCACCCACTCGCACTGTTTTGATTTTGGTACGGCTGTGCCATAGGTTATTGTTTCAACTGGGACACTAACGTTAGTTGTAGCACACACGTCCCATTTTATCGATGGACTTATGAAATGACTGGGAATATTTACTTATCTTCTTGGAATTTCAAAGATAAGTAAATAATTCTCAGTACTTCCAAGTTGAAAATAAATGATTAAATGTTTAATGTGCTCCTGCAATGTGCTTGTGCACCCAATGTGCTTGCGAATCACTTCTAAGTATTCATAGTATACCCACCTCTTATTTCACCACTACACCCTTGCATTTTGCTGACCCTTTTTCATATTTGTTTTTGCAAGATGTTGATAGACGCCTCACAGCAGGAGACTGTGGGCAGTGTAGACATTGTGGAGAGTGTCGATACTGGGGATCAGCCCTTGCCCTCCTCCACTTCTGACTCTGGGACACAGTGTTCTTTGAAGCCCCCCCGATGGTCTCACGGTAAAACTTGGGTATTTTGAAGGGGTAGATATTATCATATAGTCTAAAACATTGCCAGTATCTATGCAATCAGAACATTTCCATACACATTGATTAAATTAATACATAGCCTACACCAAAAAACATAGCCGTTTAGATTTGCCATGATTGTCACATGTTTGGGTGTTTACTGCCTCTCCACAGCTGTGCAGGTTAACCTGAAGCCCAAGATGGTCAGTGTGGGCACACAGACATCATTCTGCCCACAAACCTCCACTCCCCTCGCTAGTCCTGAACAGACAGATGAAGATGATGATAATGCCTCTGTCATCAGTGACTTATCATGGGTGCCCGAAGAGCCGATGCATGAGGAGGACTTGTTTGATGAGCCACCTTACACGTGTGACCCCCACCACAAGTGAGATCATTTAAAACCAACATAGACTATTTTGAATGCTCATTTTTGTGTACTGTAGCTTTGGTAGTTTGAATGACCCCCCCAACCATTTTGTTGTTGTTGTAGTGGCATTGACAAATTCATTGTTTGCCAAGAGGAGCTGATGTGCCTTTTTGACATCTGTCCGGTCTGTTGTGAGAGGTCAGATAGGAGCATCGTGCAGCAGGAAGGAACTTTTCTAAAGATCAAGCAGGTATGGTTTTGTTTACGCAGCAGGCCATCTGATTAGAAAATCAGAATATCTAATTACAATCTGATAGCTCTGACTGTTTTGCCAGTTAATTTACAATGTATGTACGAGGCTGGCTTTAGTCTATTGGTTTGTGATGGCATCATATTTGAGTGTTATACTGTATTGGTCATGTGTGTTTCATTGAAAACATGAAATCTTTGACCAGTAATGTACAGTACTTAATCTATATTGAATCCTGATATACTGTTGATTACTCTTTTTTTTTTTTTTTTGACATATCCAGGTCTGTGCATCATGTGGCTACCACCGATTCTGGCAAAACCAGCCAATGCTCCACAGGAACATGCCAACCTGCAACCTCCTGTTAAGCGGGGCCATTCATTTCACTGGATGTTTGGCCACCCAGACATTAAGAATGTTGACTCTGTTTGGCCTACAGTGCATCAGTGCGAGCAGTTACTTTCGCCATCAGCGCCGCTACACCATCCCAGTAATCGTTCAGGCCTGGCAAAACGATCAAGCGAAGAATTTTAGTGACCTACGGGCAATGGATGGTGGGCTAGTTCTTGCTGGTGACTGCAGGTAAACCAGTGTGAGAGCTCATAGACCAGTTGCACATTTTGATTTTGTTATTTGTTATCCTGTAGGGTGGCTTTATTTGGCATTTGCAGATGACATGGTGGATGGTCTTTACAGACCTTGGTTATTAAAAACTTGAAACCTAATTCAAATTTGTAATTAATTACAGGTCAGATTCTCCTGGGCACTGCGCAAAGTATGGATCCTACTCTCTGATCGAGGACAGAGTGAACAAGGTGGTGGATGTTCAGCTTGTTCAGGTAAACCTGATGTTATTAGACAAAGAAATGAACTCTGCAATTTAGTAAACTGATTGTATATTAATATAACATCTTTCCACTAGTACAACGATGCTTAGAGCTTTGTGTATTGCCTAACTAGAGTACAGTGTATTGTAATGCTTGGACCAGCAACGCGTCGGTTCATTCACGCCTCCTTCAACAACAGCAGCATTCTACACTTACACTGTTATGTCATGTTGCAGAGCTCAGAGGTCCCCAACAGCTCATGGTGTGAGCTTGAAGGGCTCAAGCGCAGTGTTGGCCTGCTGAGGGGAAAGGACCTGCATTTGGCAACGCTGATCACGGACCGTCATCGCCAGGTATTTACAATAAAATTGCAGTATAGAATGTAAATATCTGAATTGCACTGAAGCTGGATGTTTGTGGTTTGGTGATGCACTGAGGGCCACACAGGTCAATCATCCACAAAAGCTTTTTTATTTCTCCTTAGGTTGCCAAATGGGTGAGAGAGGAGCTGTGCCCTGAAGGGACACAGCATTATTTTGATGTGTGGCACATTGCCAAAAGTATGTATCCATTGTTGGAACCTTGAAGCAGTTTTTGTTAGTGCATATCAATTAATACCATTTGTTCTAAAACAGGTCTGGGGAAGGCCTTGGATGCAGCTTCAAAAGAGTGTGACCAACTACAGCTGTGGAGGCCTGCTATAGTGAATCACCTCTATTGGACTGCAGCCTCAACCCCAGACGGCAACCCAGCAGTCATGGAGGCTAAATGGAAAAGTTTAGTCAACCACATCCAGGACATCCATGACCATGACACCCCTGCCTTCTCCAGTTGTGCCCATGGCCCTCTAGACGGGGATCAGCGCAACAAAGAGTGGCTGGACCCAGGTACAGCACACACAGCATGTGGTATTATGTACGCTCTAAAGTTTTGTTGTATTTGATGTCTGAGTGCTTTGACGTGACCTATGATAATTAAATTATTATTTCATTCCCTGGCAATCTCATAACATTCTGTTTACTGTTTATGTTTGCTATAATTCATATGCAGGACCATTTCATGTGTTTCCATTAAAAAAATGTTTTTTTTTGTCTGAATCTATCTTCTTGTCTATTTATACGTTTTCCATCTGTGTGTGTGTCTGTCTGTCTGCCTCCCTGCCTACCTGTCTTGGTCTTTGCAGGCTCATTGGCAGCAGTAAAGTTGGAGAACATAATCGCGAGGACAGCCTTACTGAAAGATGTTCGACAGCTGTCTCCACAGCACCAGACCTTCTCCCTTGAGGCTTACCACTCCCTCATCTTGCACTTCGCGCCCAAGCACACAGGGTTTTCATACCTTGGGATGTATAGCAGGTCAGTGCTATCCAATGGAATAATACAGCCAATTATTATGCCTTTTATAGTAATAATAGTACCTATTATCATGCCTAGTATTTTGTCATACATAAACCAAGTTTCAAAATATTTCTCAAATGTGTTATTTTGTAGGCTTCTCTTAGCGGCGCTGCATTATAATCACAATGCCAACCGGGAGACAGCACGGAGAAGTGATGGGACGGAGAAGTACTGCGTGCGGTATCCGCGCTTCAGAAAAGGTGCCCATGTGGTGCGTCCCATCAAAGAGGCAGCCTCATACGGTAAGCAGTGTCATGCAGTTCTATCATATTTTGAGATGGCTCACGAGACATCTGTGATCACTGGCAATGATCTTTATTAAGTATTATTATTATTATTATGTCTGGAGGTTATGCAACATCATTGATGAAGGCCCTTCAGGAAAGCTACACCCATTCACCTGCAGCTCTTCGAGAGGTTAGCGCTAATTTGTCCTCCGATGCACCCGCCCCCATCGCCAAATCCTTTGAACAGGTTCCTAAGGAAGAGGCCGTCAGCCTCTTCCTAGCCCGGCAGTCACGCTACAAGAGAACCTAAATTCACATTATTATTTTTTTTTTTTCACAGACAATTCCAATGATTTAGTTGTAAGTATTTATTTTAGTAAGTATTTATTTAGTTATCTTCTTTCCTTCTGTCCCTGTCATCTCATTTGGTGGTGGTTTCCTGTATTCTGCATGTTTTGTTTTTTCTTTGTGTGCTGTTGCTTTGGTTTTACTTTGCACTAAATCATTACATTTTTTTCGTCTTTGTAAGTGGCATTAATTGTCGCTGTACCCCATTCACGGGGTCCTGCATGCTGCATGTCTGCTCCTCTGTCTGTTATTTGCATGAAATGTGTTGTATGTAATTCAAAATAATTTACCAATCATTTTACCTGTGCCTTGTCAACATCTGTGTGCGGTGTTGTCTGGGCTCACTGTGTGTCAGCTTGATGTGCTTTTGCATGTATCACTGCATATGCATTCATGAAAGAGTGTGTGTGTGTGTGTGACTGTGTGTGTGCGCGTGCGTGTGTGTAAGTGAGTGTGAGTGAGTACGAGAACCATCAGTTGACCCTCAGGTAAGACCACACTTTTGCAGGCATCTGAGAAATATAGCCAAGATTCGACCATTTGTGTCTTTGTTCAGTAATCTTTGTCCTTGTTCAATAAATGTTTAGTAACCCTTACAAGCAATGCCAATAAACTGTTATTACTTATTAAAATTCATGTGTTCTGTGTACTTTATAAAATTTTAAGGGCAATTGGGCGATCACAACAGAATATTTATTTATTAATATTTCTTTACAGAATTATTTTTATTCATTCTCATTCAAACGAGGCCATTGAAAGCCCTGATAGGTCTGGTCACCACTCTGGAAGTTTTGCCTTATGGTTGAAACCACACAAGAGGGTAGAGGCTTCCTTATACTCCTCCCTAAAACTCCATAAGCCCAGCGTATAGCCTGCCTGTACGCAGTGTACCGGTATTGCCTAGGGATAAGTAGGAAATATTCGTAAGTTTTAAACTCTGTAAGTAGATTGGAAACGTCATTTGAAGCCTGTCTCTTATGCATGTTTGTGCATGCAACACATCTCTTGTCACCTATAGCTGTTGTTCAAAGGACTCCCTGTAAAAAGATTGGTAAAGTAAACATAAACCATGAACATACTCGTGCGTGCTGGCTTGAAGGGGACCATTATCCTGCCTGAAGTGTGAATATGCTATTTGTAGCACAAACGGATTCAGGCAGCATGCCTCAAATCCAGGATGTTGCGTTAGGCACGTTACATCTGCTGGCCGCGGGGTGAGGTCCTCGACCAGCGACCAAAACGCGTTCACCTCCCTACAACACAAGCTCTCCACCACAGTTTCCATGGGACGACACCGCCCACACAGACACCTGCCAAACACAGCGACACAGACGCTTACAACTCACTCCCTCTCCCGGTAAGCCTGACTGTGTCAATGACAATCAATCGCGAGGAAAACGAGTTGGCACTATCAACAATAATCACACTGAAGACATGACCAGCCTACTCGGCGTCGGCTACGGTGAAACAACATTTTCACCGGAGAAAGAGGTAAAAGTTTAGAAATAAACACTCACAGGTGGGTCTGTCAAGCTTGCATTATATACATATTATATTATGCAAACTCTATTTATAGATCTTCTGACTAAGTTTAGGGTAACGTTACTTTTCTGAGCCAACGACATAATCAATGTCACTGGATAAAAAGAAAACGTTGACTTTCACTCGATGCTATTCACTGACAGTAAAAAAAAAAAAATGTTATTGTATGCACTGCTGTTCATTGACTACCTACTAGCTCCAGCGGTCATTGCTGCGTTTCTAAATGGTAGCAACTCACCAGGACACTACACCAACTCTCCATTCATTCTCCTCTGACCATGCATTTATTTGTCTTTGACGTCCATCAGCTCTCGGTATTTCCTCATTCACCCTCTCACGTCTAAACGGTTCGAAATTGTATGGCTGTGGGCCATCATAAATGTTAACTGTGGGTCTTGCCACCTCTTCCTCATCCCAGTTAGACGCCATAGTAGTCAGTGCCAGTCTGCTAGAATTAGTTCAAGTAGCGGAGAACGGCTGAGGCTACATTCCACTGCGTCTACCTCATGTGACGTCATCGCCGAGTCGCGTAAAAAAATAACCGTTACTAACCAAAAACTTCAAAAACTGGACTTTAACACCATTTTGGAGACATTTCTAACTTTATATACATATCTTAACTGCTTTATGTACCCATTAATCGACAGTGGTGTTTAACCTGCACCATGGCCTTTAACCTTCTCCAGAGCGTCGGCGCACTGAAGCGTTTTTTTATTTATTTAGTTCAAATATACTATCAGATTTAATGTTATACCTTGACAAACTATACATCATTAAAAAGATATAAGACTCAAGATTCAGTATTTGACCACTATTGTATTCTGAGAAACTTATAGTGACAGTTATGTCTTAATTTGTGTCAGGAGTTATGAAATGAAAAAAACGAGTCGATACCTTTAATATGAATTATGAGCGTCAGCTGGTCCATTCATAAAAAACACTCCGTGCTGTCCTCATGATAGCGATTCACAAAACAACGTCCCTGAGGGGTTTTAGCTCAACAATGTGCAGATGTGGAGAAATATTGATATATTCTCATAGATTCACATCATATTTCTATAGACCGGAATAATATTTATTGAATTTATACCCAAATGCGTCGATGTAATCATAATGATCGCTTCTTCCTGAGATGTGCTGTGTTTTCCATTCATACCAATAGCATGGGGGCGCTATTATGTCCAATAAAAGTCCATATATGGATCATGAAGAAGACCCATAGTCATGTGACATTCCAGGACGTCACTGAGTGATACAGAAAGTACAGAGATCGCTGTAACATGCAGATAAAGATGTTTTGAAGACAATAAACATGATTGCAATGATATTTGAGTTACCTGTGTTCTTCAAGCCATGCCAGGTATTTCATAATAATAGATTATATTTATAATGTAATGCTAATCGATATAGATTTCATCATCGTTCAGAACACTAAATAATACATTTTCTGTCTGATTTTTTTTTTATCTGAAGCCAAGTTAGATCACAGAAGATTATTTAAAACACTAGACTTGCGTTACATAGTGAGTTTGGAGCGCAAACATAGTTTTAATCTCATAAATGGTCGTGTATTGATGGTGTGCTAAGCTAACATGCTAGCGAGCCCAGGCGCACCTGCCACGAGCAGTTATTGTTTTATGATTTTTTTCTAAATAGGAATGCTTACTGAAATGTTTCAGTGCATTTGATACCAGTTTCAAATATTTAGTGAGAACTTTGATAAAAGAAATTAGGGTTTGAAACCCTATGAATAGCTTGTGAATAGCCAGTCGTTAGTAGCTATAATGCAGACAAAAGAAATGCATATTTAGAGCCATAATAACCAGTCTGGAGAGGTGTAAATGTGTGCAGGGGAGACTGAGACTGAATGGGGCACCACAAAACAATAGAGACAATAGACTGAATAGATGACTCAGAAGATGACTAAACATCAGTTTGCTAATAGAGTCTAATCAAAATAAAGTAATTTGACATGATCTTGAAAAACATTTAACTAAATACAGAGCTTTATACTTAATCATTTTCAGATTTTAAATATAAAATGGTCAGACATGTGGCTTTAGCTGCAGTGCATTTCTAGATTGCTCCAGGGCCAACTTCAATTTTATTTTCATGAAGATGTTTCATAAAAATAAATTTCTAATAACTTTACAAAACTTTGAAGCTATTTAAAATGGTTTTTTTCATTATGACAATAATTAATTCTACATTTACAATAAACAACCAAGTGTCAGCTTTCAAATGAGATCATACTTGTGCTTTTAGTGCAAAGGGTTCATGAACTGTATCTGTTTTAGTTTGGGTATGTCATTTCTGGGGATTTTTCAATAGTGGGCTTGAAGCTTAACAGGTTAACGTCAGTTAGATGACGATCGGCGTCATCTATCTGACGCTTTACCTTTAGTGTCAGCTGGATGACGCGGGTAGGTTTAGGTCTGGGGTAGGGTTAGGATTAGATAGCGTCATCTAACTGACGTTAAAGGGTACCCTAAAACGTCGGATGTTGACGTATGGTCAAAAGCGTCAGTCATATGACTGCTTGGGATGAGACTGGGCTGAAATGACCTATCACATTGCATTTTTTTACAGCACGTGTTTTCAAACAATTAGCATTTAATTTCGTATCACGTCACATGTAGGCTATTGGGGTGTACAATAGTGATGATGATGATGTGATGTGGAGTACCATTCATTCACATTAATAATTGCATGACAATTTGTAATATTCTTCTTGTTATTATTATGATTTTTATTATTAATGACGCTTATTGTTATTTAGAAGAAGAATGTCGTTATTATTATTATTATTAATAATATTTAAAAGAAGAAGAATGTCATTTTTATTATTTTGTCAGTCTGAATTATTTTTTGGTCATTGAAAGCCTTTCATTACTGAACCCAGTCCGTGCGCACCTGCCGGGCCTAACCATGAAACGTCAGGTAAAGCGCACAAGCTCGCAACTGAAGGAATACATATGCCTACAAATCAAATGCTTTGGTAAAGTCACACAAATTAAACATTGAAGTCCATGTTGCACAAAAATAAACACTGAAGTTTATAATTACTATGTTGTTGTTTTTTTACAGTGGGTCATAATATATCATATCTTTTAGTTTGTCAGTGCGTTTTGTGGTGTTAGGAATAGTTTTTCTGCGCATTTCCACACTAACTCAAAACGTGCGTACATGTACACCACCTCCTGAGCTGGCGTAGGATTTGAGCGTGCCGTACGCCAACGTCCATATTGATAAATCTCAAAGTCACCGTGGTTTTGGGTGTACGCTGGAAATTTGGTGTACGCACTTTTGATAAATGAGGGCCATTGTCTCTATAATTTGTAAGTTACTTAATATTATTCAACAATATCACACTCGTAATTGTTTTATCTGGAAAAAAACATGGGTGTACTGTACTTAACTTTTTTAAGGTTATAGTCCCCGCTTTATTATAGACAACCCCATTTGTTCCGTATTTTGCAATTTTTGATTTTGAACAACTACAGAGAAGTAACATGTTTGAGGTCTTCTTGAGGAGTTTGGTGAGAAGTAGTGGCCAAATTGGTCCCAGTCAGTGATCTATCACCTGCTTTTTTTCCCTTTTTTTTTGAGTAAATCTCCTCAGTGCTTGGTAGATGCTAGCAGGTGACTTTCTCAGCTAAACTGATAACTTGCTGCAACCTGGTTTTGGATCAGGCGGAGAGTAAGGGGAACCAAACTATGATTGAGGAAGTGAGGATGCATTCTATGCTCT